CTAGCTTTGGATGAAGAAGCTTCCGGGTCCTCGGAGACGGGCTCATCGAGCAAAGCCTCGCGAGCCTTCTCTCGTTCGTCTTTGATGATGGCGAGTCTCCGCTGTTTTGTTGACATTGTTTTCCAAAGAAAAGGTGGAATACTGTCGGGTTTGCTCGATCCTGAATACCTTCGGGCTTTCACACCCCCCGCATCGTAATGAGCACCTCCATCTTTGGGAACAAAGGTGTCCTTGCTGGTCTTCAAATCAATAACTTTGACCATTTCCTCCGACGCGGGTCCCCTTTTGGGGGAATCTTTGATCAGCTTTCCGAGGTTTTCAGCGAGTTCCTGATCATCGATGTCATCCTGGCCTGGCATCTCTGCCGGCAAATCCTCCTCCAAGAGCGGCGCATCCAATGCAGCTGGATCGGGCGTCTCAGGAGCGTATTCAAGCCCCGGCATAACGCCGTTCATGTGCAATAAGTGCCGTTCGACCATTGGAAAAGAGAATTCGCCATCCGGACATTTGATTTGATTTACCCTCAAAGGAGCAATAGGTTGATCATAGTCCTTCTCCATCAAATCTCGCAAAGGAATAACGAGAAATTCATGACGCCAAAGAAAGTCAGGATGGATGGGATACCCCAGAAATATTCCAGCCCTGGAAGTAGGTTCAAACTTCAAAGGCTTGTTGGGTCGATTCCTCGGGCCGGTCCAAAAGTTGACTTGACAACCAAAGGGCAAATATGGTCCGGGAAAATCTTCTCCAAAACGTACCTTCCATGGTGAATAATAATCTGGGTGGTCCGTGATGTTATGCGCCATGCAATAGTGTTTGGCGGCATGTGGCCAATACGAATGATGCAAACCAGCTTGTTCCAGGTTGGTCCTCGTGCCCTCGATAATCGCCCTGACGTTCCTCTCAGCAATAGCATTTGTTTTGGAAATGTAGTTTGTACTTTGAACATGCTTCCATTCCAATTGATCTGCCGCTTTCACAAGTTCAGGAGCCCGATCACTGTAAAACACGTTCACGGTTTCCCCGGTGCGGACAAAGTGCTTGAATGCCATCACACACTGATGAGAGGTTTTCCGTGCTGCTGGGTAAACATAACGGAAGTCAGTGGCAACATCTCGAACAACAAGTGCAACTCTAGATTGGTCAATGCCGATTTCACGATCATCTGATGTAATAAGATGGTCCGCCGTAAGGTGATCACCAAACTTCTTGGCCTCGACTTGAGTGGAACCTCCCTTCTGTCTTGATGGATATTTGTACATCTTCGCCCTGTTGCAAGTCTCACAAAAGGGATTTTTGGGAGTGTGACACATCAAGTGCTGGAGTGAGGTCGCCTCATCACGCAAAGCTGCTTCACCACGTTCTCGAGGGGCGTCCTTCAAAATAGGCTTCGACACAAAATCGGAAGCGATGACCTTAGGCGCATCTTCGGAGGGAATGTCATGGCACTCTTCAATGACCTCACCTTCCGGTTGGCTAATGGTGTCCTCAAGCAAGAAGTCATCGTTCCCCAATTCATCCCCATCATCCTCATTGGTCACAAGCACCTCTTCAACAGCTTCGGGTTCCTCGTCAATGACCAGAACTTCATCATCGATTTCAATGGGGGCTGACGGTAATGATGTAACCTTTGGAATGCTCTGTGACAAAGCTGGAACAGTATTATGAGTTGCTGGGGGAATGAATGGAACATTGTCTTTGACCTCGAGCTTGATGCGTGAACCATCCGGAAGTCGAAAATAAGGCCTGCTGTGGGCTCTCCAAACGAAATCATATCCGTCCCTAAGGCATCTCATACCCACGGATAACACGGATGGAGCCTTGTCAAGAACATATGGCCGAACAACACTATCGGTCTGTTGGATCTTGACCCTGGCCTGCTTGGTACCAATGATATTCCCATTAGCTGTGGACAATTTCAGAGGCTGAGACGATTCGTAAATACATCCCATCTCCGCATCGGTTCCCGATAGCAAGTCCTGAGAAGCTCCTGTATCTGCAATCCACGGAATGTGAGAAGAATCCATTGTCATTCGAGCAACAGCAGCTTTCCCCTTTTTGGGGGAGGTCACGGACTTCTCTGGCTCGGCCGTTAGGCCTGCGGGGATGCAGGAATCACAACCGAAATCAGAGTCGCATTGAAATTTGCAAGGAGTCTTCGTGCCTTTGAGCAAATCCTTCGTCATAGCTTCATGCATGGTGCCGATAAGAATTGCGTCAGAGACGGCTCTCTCATCGAACTTCGGAACATAATCAACAGGAAACTCGTGTGCAAACCTTCTCGACGAGGCAGTGTAGGGCCAAAGCTCGCCGTCAGTCTCATAGTTCGAAATGGATGGGTAATCAGAAAATTGCACGCATTTCTTGATGCATGGCATACACTGGAAAACATCGTGAGTCACACTAGGCAAGCAAGGATGCGAGGCGACCGAGTCGAGGGTCGCGGCGCACACCATCGCCTGGAGGAGGCACACCGCAGCATTGCTGCCTTTTGACGATCGCGGAGACTTGAGGGACTGAGAACCCTTTGAATCTTTCGAATCTTGAGAAGAAGGCCTGCTATCCTTCTTCCCCTTTTTCTTTTTCTTGTCCCTTGGCGACGTCTTGGGGGTGTCTCCACTAGCGGTCTTCTCGGCCTTTGGGGCTGGAGCTGCCTTGGAAGTTGCGGGGTGCTGCCATGGGCAATCCTTCCCTCTCTCACATCTGTTCGCTTTGAAGAACTTGCACACCTGGGGTTTCGAACCAGGAGGGCTCTGCGAACGATACTTCCTTGGCGTCTGGGGTCTGGACCCGCCCTTCTTGCCTTTCCCCTTACCTTTCGGTGCCTTAACATGTTCGAATCGGCAGTCTGAACCATAGGTGCACTGGCCAGTTTGAAATTTGATGCATACACCCTTGGGGATTCCAGGAACTGCAGGGTTGTTCGATGGAGTCCTGCCACGCCCCGTTGTGTTGCTTGACATAGCATCCCGCATGTGAACAAGCCTCTTGCGCTCCAAATAATTCCTCGATGCGTCAATCAAGAATTTATAGGAGTGCTTTTCCGTACCTTCCTCAGCTCGCTCATACTCATTGAGATCATGACTGAGGGGCCGAAACTTTCGAATCTGGCGGTGGAACAGCGCTTCGAGGGTCTTCTCATTTTGCTCATTGCCCATTCCAGCGATGACCGTGTCCCATCTCGTCATGAAATTTCTGAGGTCCTCGTTGATGAGCTGGACAGAGAGCAAGTCCTCAAAGTCGTAAATTGCACCATGTTTGATGTTCGTGCTGAAGTGCTTGTGAACCATCAGAAGAATTTGGCGCCCCCTCGCATAGCGTTTCTCCTTTGCTTCTTGTTCTTTGAAAATGTCCACTTGCCGCGCGAGGTCGCCCTCCAAGATATTCGTCAACGCCGATGCCAGCTTTGCATCAAGATGGACAAACATTCCTGAATCACGAAGGACTTCAACAGTTTGACCTGGGATCCAAGTTGCCTCAATCCATTCGAATGCCTTTTCGGGTTGGTCGGAAGTAGCAACAACAGCATCCCTAACTTTGATCCTCCAATTACGGTACTGTTCGGGCTTCGGGAATCGGGGAATCTGAATTCTGTCACCCTCCTTTACACGAACGCGTTCCGCTGTCGGATCGCTCGAATTACCTAAGTGCTTCAGTAGCTTTCGTCGAAAAGATTCATCCGATGCAGTTGAAGTTGATGATGAAGATGACGAGGGAGAAGACGACGGATCTCGTCGCCGGCGTCGGCTACGGTCCTTCTTCTTTTTCTTCTTCTTCTTCTTTTTCTTGTCCTTGTCATTTCCACCATCACCATCATCGCAAGGCCAACCGTCTCCGGTAGCAGCATCGTCCACGGCCCCGGCGGGAACGGATCCGTCTTTGCCGTAGGGGTCGTTCCCGACTTTCGTCCAACTGTGCGAGGAAGCATTCGAAAGTCCGGGTGGAGATGCAGCCAAAGGAACTGTCGGGATAGCCAAGGGGGTAGCTGGCGCCTGCTGAACAGGAGGCGCAGGGGCTGGAGCAGGTTGAGCAGGCGGTTGCTGTTGATTCTGCACCATCTGCTCGACCATAGCCCTTAGCTCTCTGATCTGCTTCTCCTGCTCGCTGATCGTGTTCATGGCGTTTTGGTACTTCATCTCGGCTTCCCTTTCTGACTTCATGGTGTTCGCACGCTGCTCCGCATTCATCTGAATCTCGCGTCTCATGGCCTCCGACTGGCTTTGGAGACCGGCAATGATCTCACCATGCCTTGCCTCCGCCAGCTGGGCGACCATGGGACCGGTGTCCTGATTCACGAACTGGTTGAATTGGGCATTGTTCTGGGTAGCGTTGATCTGCTGATAATTCGTCACGTCCTGGTTGATCGTCATTGATGGATCGAGGTGGACGTTCGCAACATGTTGGTTGAACTGATTCATGGACTGTGGCATAGGGTTTCCCCTTGCGGGGTCGGTCTGGGGGTCGTACATGACGATGTCACCATGCCGACGCCGATCTGATCCTACAGGAGAAGGAGATCGAGCACCAGACCGCCCAGCCCTCCCCCGGTCACTCCGGGATCGAAGTGATTCGGGGCCCTGACTGCTCAGTGCTTGTCCCTTCCTGATGAGCTCCCTGGCCACTTGGGAGTTTGCTCGACTAGTCGGTTCATATTGCGAGGCGTCTTCATCGCCTGCTGGCTCACCAGGTGTGGGACGCACCTCGGTATGGGGTAGGCCAGGGTCGCCATCCATGGCGTACAACTCTGCACAAAGAGCCGCTTACGGCTGATAACCTATAGAACAGGTTAAACAACCGGGAAGGGTCACAATTGAACCCTGTACTCAGCGCGCTTTTTCCTTGAGCCACGTGCAGTCGTAATGATGAGACTGCACAAGTGAGACATGCATGCATTGGGGTTTACATGGTTGATAAATACATCACGTTGCAAACTACAAAAACCAACATAGGACTCCAACAATGTCAAGTGCCGATTCCCCGACGCCAAGAGCAAGCGGTTCCTGTTTGAAGGGGATCGATGTGGTCTGAACCGTGTTCTCCATCACCGTGAGGTCTTCAGCTTTAGCCTTAGGGACGTCTCAACCAACTTTGGATTGACGGATTTGGCAAAATGTAGCCTTAGGGATCTTCCTAGCTTCATGTCACTGTTTTCATCTGCCAGCTACAAGGATATGCCAACCAAGCACAAAGTAAGACCCTGAAACTGTGGCTCAACAGGATGTTAGGGAAAGCCCGACAGAGCAAATATCTCTTTTGTCCCGGCAAGTCGGCCTGCCTTCGCCTCTTTCTGCACTTCATCCGCTTTTGCCTTCTGCTTGATCTGCCCTGGCTCATCTGCCTTCTCCGTCTTCTGAGGGGTCGTTTCTTCTTGTGATGCGTTTTCTGCCGCTTCCTTGGCTGTTTCATTGACTTCTTCCGGTACTCTCTTCGTTGCGCCCTCATTTGCTGCACCCGTTTTCTCTTCTGGCCTTTGGTTCTCATCAGGCTTCTCCACTGTGCCTTCTTGCTGCTCCACTCTCTCCTCCACACAAGGAAAACGCAACTCCAATGACCTCCTGCCATGCTGACTAAATACGTGGTCGTCGCGTCTTATAATAGACCCATAATAGTGCCGATTGCTCAGATCGTCGCGGTGTGCCTTCTTCTGCCTGCTCTTCGCACGTGGTCTCGATTTGGCAGCGGTGGGTGCGTCCTGGGGACGCCCACTCTGTGAGAAGGCATGAAGCTTCTTAGAAAAGCAAAGGGCCCCGTTGGATTCCTACATAATGTATGCGAAGTAGGAAACCAGGAAAATCCTGCGAAATATAATTTCAATGTTGAGTGGCTGGATTGCTTGGACTCTGCCGTACTCCAAAAAACAGCTAGCGCGATCGGAAAACATGTTTCCTATGTCACTTCCAATGCGATCGCAGAGCCTCTGGTGAAAATGTCAACAGCAGTGCCATTGTGCTTCTCGAACCCCCTAAAACACAGTAGCTCCCCTTGTGTTGCCAAATAATCAAGCCCTGGCACAGTAATGTTGTGAAAACACATGAAATTGACATCATGTTCTCAAAAAGAAGCTCGAGCATTTTTGGCCGAGCAGTACTAAGCAGTACTCTGCAACTTAGCTTGGCCCCCCTCTGAAACTATTTCTCAGGGTTTCCATTGTTTGGGGGCAGCAATCATGGGCGGTCATCGGAAGCAAACATGTCACGAGCACTGTGAGCTTCACAGGTTGATCTTGGACAAGGGTTAGATGTCAGGAATGCATTATTTGATGGACTTTCAAAGCAAATGCAAACTAGCAAGCAACTTGGGCAACCACCACAAAAACATGACTGCTCCTCAGCCTAGCTGTAACGGAAGGCACAACACACGGCTAGCAACCTCAGCAGCTCATGAATCAGCTAAAAGGCGGCAGACCCGCCACATGCATGTAAAATGAAGCAGGCCAGCAGCTAGTCGGTAAGTCAAACAGGAAAGAAGGCGGGCTTACAACCTGACAAATATCCTTTTGGGCATGTTCACAGTGACAACTCGCCCACTCACCTTCTCCAAGCGCCATGCTTGCAGGGTCATGTTTTCCCCTGCACACAAGCCTTTTCTGAACACGACTCGCAACATGGCGGGCGTGCCTCGCTGGTACCTTTCCATGGCTGATTGCGAGAAGCCTGACGGGTGCAAAGCTGATGACATACTTGATCCAGCGAGGTAGACTCGGGACCCCAAGAACAGGTGCTGTATGGTGCTGTCCTTTTGGTGTCCATGCACACCAAGGTGATCAGGGTTTCCTCAACAAAAAAAACACTCAGCTGTCGGTCGACTCAACTGTGGTTCTACCCGAATGCACAAAAACCGGACATACATAAAACCCTTTACTGACAAACCACTTTCGCCGAATGCTTTGCGGCCACACATTTCGCTTTCGCGGGCATAGTGGATGGATGGATGGATGGATGGATGGATCGACCTGCAGAAGGAAACTGTCCCGGAGTGGCCCCCCAGACAAACAGTCCAAAACTCCCCAAAGACAGTACAGGTGCGCAAGGTGTACAAACAAGATTGGTGCCTTCAACACAAGTGCGAGCCAGTGGTGCCAGTGGTGCCTCCATCATTCCCCCCTGCACCCTAGCCACAGCCAGGGTCCAGCATGAGCGTCCAAAAAAACTGCTATAAGCTGCGAGGACAAGGCTGCATGGCAAGGCTTTGCCAGCAGGCTGTAGAGGCACTAGCGCGGCGGGCTTGCTTACTCGGGCCATGTATACATGGAATAGGCTGCGAAGTTCGCTTTTCTTCCTCCGGTGGCTGGACTTACATAGGAGCGCAAGTCCTTTCGTGGGGCCCGTGGCGTAATTGGAGCTTTCGCGGAATTCGGCTGCATTTTGGATTTCGGCCGAGCTCAAAAGGGACTTGACGCTGTCAGAATGACAAGCGTAGCCCACCCTCACGAGCCCGCAATGGGTCCGGAAACCTGCTTGAACAGAAACTGCCAACATGGACTTTCACGCCGGGCTCTTCTTCAACCACTTTCGCAGTAAGCTTTCCAGCTTATGCACTCCGCGTTTTAGCTTAAATGAGGGGTTTGGGCGCCTCACCTAAAGCAGAAAGAGCAAGCACCCGCTCGCATCACCAAGGTGAACATACTTTTTACAATAAGCAGTTGGACAGCAAACACAGAAGCGACCACTGGATGTGCTGCAAGCATGGCCTTGGCTTTCGGTTGTCTCTTCTTCTTATCTGCTTCAACATCCGGCTCCTGCGCTGGCTCTACCTTCTGGTCCGCTTCCGAGTTGACTTCAACATGGGCCGAGGCTCCTGTCGTCTTTTCGTCTGACTGCTCTGACGGCTCTGGCTGCTTCTGCTCCTGTGTCTTGTCAGCGTCATCTATCTTAGCCTCCGCGTCGTCTTTGCTTTCAAACAATCCTGACACCTGCTGCTCGCTTCCGTTGTTCTCCGCCGGCTGGCCCTCTGCTGGCTGAGCGTCATCCTTGGCATCACAACACAAGGAAGCACGAATTCGGAAACGCGGCCGTTCTGGCAACGTCATGCAACACCTAACACCTGTCCATCACACATCAAGCCGCCCTCTCAATCCCAGTTTCCGCCAGCAAAAGCATGCTCCGGCAAGCGAGTGCCTATCGTGGAACAAAGCACACGTTCAGCGCAAACATTGACCAATAAAGCATCGGGCAAACTCAGTCTGGCAGCTTTCTTCATCTTGCTCTTCGCCCGTGGTCGCGCTTTGGCCGCAGTTGTTGCCGCCTTGCCGCCGTCCAGTGGTCCTTGCTCAACCTGGCCGAGGCGCACATTCGACATGAGGATTTGAATATAGTTGAAACTGCCATGCGACAAGCGCCACGCAACGCCGTCAACCCGCTGAAAGCAAGCGCACAGAGCACAAACCAAAGCTGTAGCTTCAACCAATCACGTCACAGCAAAGCAGAAATGCTCCTGGCAACTCCTGGCAACCCCAAGCATTTTTTTTGTCTGCCATGCCTCTTTGGCCGCCCTCTTCTTTGGCTGGTTGCGAGAAGCAGCCTCTGCACAGGCAACATCAGCTGGTACACCATCGATCAGTCAGGCAAAAACATTTTCCAGTCACTCTGAAACTGTTGCAGGCGTAAGTTACACAAACAATTTATACCCTCGCCTTTGGCGTGCCGTGTGTTGGAAGTTCCGTTCTCAACCTGCAAAGAAAAGCAACAAACCCCTTCAAGCAAACACAACAAACACACTATCAGCCTGGCACTCTTAACATCAAGCCTCATGATGGACAGTTCCACGGCAAAGCAATAGAACCACAGCCGGAGCGCTGCAAGCATGGCCTTGGCTTTAGCTTGTCTCTTCTTCTTATCTGCTTCAACATCCGGCTCCTGCGCTGGCTCTACCTTCTGGTCCGCTTCCGAGTTGACTTCAACATGGGCCGAGGCTCCTGTCGTCTTTTCATCTGACTGCTCTGACGGCTCTGGCTGCTTCTGCTCCTGTGTCTTGTCAGCGTCATCTATCTTAGCTTCCGCGTTGTCTTTGCTTTCAAACAATCCTGACACCTGCTGCTCGCTTCCGTTGTTCTCCGCCGGCTGGCCCTCTGCTGGCTGAGCGTCATCCTTGGCATCACAACACAAGGAAGCACGAATTCGGAAACGCGGCCGTTCTGGCAACGTCATGCAACACCTAACACCTGTCCATCACACATCAAGCCGCCCTCTCAATCCCAGTTTCCGCCAGCAAAAGCATGCTCCGGCAAGCGAGTGCCTATCGTGGAACAAAGCAAACGTTCAGCGCAAACATTGACCAATAAAGCATCGGGCAAACTCAGTCTGGCAGCTTTCTTCATCTTGCTCTTCGCCCGTGGTCGCGCTTTGGCCGCAGTTGTTGCCGCCTTGCCGCCGTCCAGTGGTCCTTGCTCAACCTGGCCGAGGCGCACATTCGACATGAGGATTTGAATAGAGTTGAAACTGCCATGCGACGAGCGCCACGCAACGCCGTCAACCCGCTGAAAGCAAGCGCACAAAGCACAAACCAAAGCAGTAGCTTCAACCAATGACGTCACAGCAAAGCAGAAATGCTCCTGGCAACTCCTGGCAACCCCAAGCATTTTTGTCTGCCATGCCTCTTTGGCCGCCCTCTTCTTTGGCTGGTTGCGAGAAGCAGCCTCTGCACAGGCAACATCAGCTGGTACACCATCGATCAGTCAGGCAAAAACATTTTCCAGTCACTCTGAAACTGTTGCAGGCGTAAGTTACACAGACAATTTATACCCTCGCCTTTGGCGTGCCGTGTGTTGGAAGTTCCGTTCTCAACCTGCAAAGAAAAGCAACAAACCCCTTCAAGCAAACACAACAAACACACTATCAGCCTGGCACTCTTAACATCAAGCCTCATGATGGACAGTTCCACGGCAAGCAATAGAACAACCACAGCCGGAGCGCTGCAAGCATGGCCTTGGCTTTAGCTTGTCTCTTCTTCTTATCTGCTTCAACATCCGGCTCCTGCGCTGGCTCTACCTTCTGGTCCGCTTCCGAGTTGACTTCAACATGGGCCGAGGCTCCTGTCGTCTTTTCATCTGACTGCTCTGACGGCTCTGGCTGCTTCTGCTCCTGTGTCTTGTCAGCGTCATCTATCTTAGCTTCCGCGTTGTCTTTGCTTTCAAACAATCCTGACACCTGCTGCTCGCTTCCGTTGTTCTCCGCCGGCTGGCCCTCTGCTGGCTGAGCGTCATCCTTGGCATCACAACACAAGGAAGCACGAATTCGGAAACGCGGCCGTTCTGGCAACGTCATGCAACACCTAACACCTGTCCATCACACATCAAGCCGCCCTCTCAATCCCAGTTTCCGCCAGCAAAAGCATGCTCCGGCAAGCGAGTGCCTATCGTGGAACAAAGCAAACGTTCAGCGCAAACATTGACCAATAAAGCATCGGGCAAACTCAGTCTGGCAGCTTTCTTCATCTTGCTCTTCGCCCGTGGTCGCGCTTTGGCCGCAGTTGTTGCCGCCTTGCCGCCGTCCAGTGGTCCTTGCTCAACCTGGCCGAGGCGCACATTCGACATGAGGATTTGAATAGAGTTGAAACTGCCATGCGACAAGCGCCACGCAACGCCGTCAACCCGCTGAAAGCAAGCGCACAAAGCACAAACCAAAGCTGTAGCTTCAACCAGTCACGTCACAGCAAAGCAGAAATGCTCCTGGCAACTCCTGGCAACCCCAAGCATTTTTTGTCTGCCATGCCTCTTTGGCCGCCCTCTTTTTTGGCTGGTTGCGAGAAGCAGCCTCTGCACAGGCAACATCAGCAGGTACACCAACGATCAGTCAGGCAAAAACATTTTCCAGTCACTCTGAAACTGTTGCAGGCGTAAGTTACACAGACAATTTATACCCTCGCCTTTGGCGTGCCGTGTGTTGGAAGTTCCGTTCTCAACCTGCAAAGAAAAGCAACAAACCCCTTCAAGCAAACACAACAAACACACTATCAGCCTGGCACTCTTAACATCAAGCCTCATGATGGATAGTTCCACGGCAAAGCAACAGAACAACCACAGCTGGAGCGCTGCAGGCATGGCCTTGGCTTTAGCTTGTCTCTTCTTCTTATCTGCTTCAACATCCGGCTCCTGCGCTGGCTCTACCTTCTGGTCCGCTTCCGAGTTGACTTCAACATGGGCCGAGGCTCCTGTCGTCTTTTCATCTGACTGCTCTGACGGCTCTGGCTGCTTCTGCTCCTGTGTCTTGTCAGCGTCATCTATCTTAGCTTCCGCGTCGTCTTTGCTTTCAAACAATCCTGACACCTGCTGCTCGCTTCCGTTGTTCTCCGCCGGCTGGCCCTCTGCTGGCTGAGCGTCATCCTTGGCATCACAACACAAGAAAGCACGAATTCGGAAACGCGGCCGTTCTGGCAACGTCATGCAACACCTAACACCTGTCCATCACACATCAAGCCGCCCTCTCAATCCCAGTTTCCGCCAGCAAAAGCATGCTCCGGCAAGCGAGTGCCTATCGTGGAACAAAGCAAACGTTCAGCGCAAACATTGACCAATAAAGCATCGGGCAAACTCAGTCTGGCAGCTTTCTTCATCTTGCTCTTCGCCCGTGGTCGCGCTTTGGCCGCAGTTGTTGCCGCCTTGCCGCCGTCCAGTGGTCCTTGCTCAACCTGGCCGAGGCGCACATTCGACATGAGGATTTGAATAGAGTTGAAACTGCCATGCGACGAGCGCCACGCAACGCCGTCAACCTGCTGAAAGCAAGCGCACAGAGCACAAACCAAAGCTGTAGCTTCAACCAATCACGTCACAGCAAAGCAGAAATGCTCCTGGCAACTCCTGGCAACCCCAAGCATTCTTTGTCTGGCCATGCCTCTGTGGCCGCCCTCTTCTTTGGCTGGTTGCGAGAAGCAGCCTCTGCACATGCAACATCAGCAGGTACACCAACGATCAGTCAGGCAAAAACATTTTCCAGTCACTCTGAAACTGTTGCAGGCATAAGTTACACAGACAATTTAACAATTTATACCCTCACTCTTGGCGTGCCGTGCGTTGGAAGTTCCGTTCTCAACCTGCAAAGAAAAGCAACAACCCCCTTCAAGCAAACACGACAAACACACTACTATCAGCCTGGCACTCTTAACATCAAGCCTCATGATGGACAGTTCCACGGCAAAGCAATAGAACAACCACAGCCGGCGCGCTGCAAGCATGGCCTTGGCTTTAGCTTGTTTCTTCTTCTTATCTGCTTCAACATCCGGCTCCTGCGCTGGCTCTACCTTCTGGTCCGCTTCCGAGTTGACTTCAACATGGGCCGAGGCTCCTGTCGTCTTTTCATCTGACTGCTCTGACGGCTCTGGCTGCTTCTGCTCCTGTGTCTTGTCAGCGTCATCTATCTTAGCTTCCGCCTCGTCTTTGCTTTCAAACCATCCTGACACCTGCTGCTCGCTTCCGTTGTCCACAGAAGGCTGGCCCTCTGCTGGTTGAGCATCATCCTTGGCAGCACAGCAAAAGGGAGCACGCAAGCCGCCCTCTCAATCCCAGTTTCCTCCAACAAAAGCATGCTCCGGCAAGGGAGTGCCTATCGTGGAACAAAGAAAACGTTCAGCGCAAACATTGACCAATCAAACATCGGTCAAACCGAATCTCTGTCCGATCATTGAAACAAAAAACTGTAAGCCAAACTCAGTCTGGCAGCTTTCTTCATCTTGCTCTTCGCCCGTGGTCGCGCTTTGGCCGCAGTTGTTGCCGCCTTGCCGCCGTCCAGTGGTCCTTGCTCAACCTGGCCGAGGCGCACATTCGACATGAGGATTTGAATAGAGTTGAAACTGCCATGCGACGAGCGCCACGCAACGCCGTCAACCCGCTGAAAGCAAGCGCACAAAGCACAAACCAAAGCTGTAGCTTCAACCAATCACGTCACAGCAAAGCAGATATGCTCCTGGCAACTCCTGGCAACCCCAAGCATTTTTTGTCTGCCATGCCTCTTTGGCCGCCCTCTTCTTTGGCTGGTTGCGAGAAGCAGCCTCTGCATAGGCAACATCAGTTACATCAGCGATCAGCCAGGCAAAAACAGGTTGGCTTGTGCGTACGTTGGAAGTACCGTTCTCAACCTGCAAACAAAAAACAAACAAGCCCTTCAACCAAACCCCGCAAACGCGCTATGCGTCTGATACACGTTATCATTCAAACCTGCTGATGTACATATATGCGCTCCAAGCATGGCCTTGGCTTTAGCTTGTTTCTTCTTCTTATCTGCTTCAACATCCGTCTTCTGCGCTGGCTCTACCTTCTGGGCCGTTTGGGCCGAGGCTCCTATCGCCTTTTCATCTGACTGCTCTGACGGCTCTGGCTGCTTCTGCTCCTGTGTCTTGTCAGCGTCATCTATCTTAGCTTCCGCCTCGTCTTTGCTTTCAAACCATCCTGACACCTGCTGCTCGCTTCCGTTGTCCACCGAAGGCTGGCCCTCTGCTGGTTGAGCGTCATCCTTGGCAGAACAAGACATGGCAAGGGAGCAGTGTTCTGCAGCACCCGTCCATCACACACATCAAGCCGCCCTCTCAATCCCAGCTCGCACTAACAAATGCATGCTCCGGCATGCGAGCGCCATCGCGGAAGAAAGAACATGTTGAGCGCAAACATTGGCCAATCCGAAATCGGTCAAACGGAGTCTCTGGCTATCATTGAAACAAAGACCGTAGGCCTAACTCAGTCCGGCAGCTTTCTTCAGCTTGCTCTTCGCCCGTGGTCTCGCTTTTGCAGCTGTTGTTGCTGCCTTGCCCAAACAGCATGTGCATACATACTGCTTCATGGTGTCGCATAGCACATGCTGCAACATGTGTTCTTCTTGAAGACAGGCATGTTGTACATGCAAGAGAGGCACTGTTCAGCGGCATTGCCACCCACACATGAAAGTGCGATCACAGCATCCGCACTCCGAACAAATGGCAAACTCTTCAGACCCAAAAAGACTGCGCAAATGACCACATCTTCTGATATTCTAGGTGGTGCAGCGCAGCTCACTCAATCGACAAACTGCTGACCAAAAGCATACTGCTCATTGGTTGCCGCCTTCTCCTCTGGAGACTCTTCTGCCTCCAACTCAGACTGCTTGCTTTCAGGAGGATCATCCTCCTTGGTTCATCCAGGAAAACGGTGTACTGCCGAGAGCACGTCTTGCATGGTACATCCGCCCAGCACAAGGGAACCCAAACAACGCTGCCACATTCCTCAACTAAGCAGTGAGCGCTCTAAACATAGAACAATCCATTGCTCGTAGGCGCAAACACGCACTCCCCTGCAAAGGCCCGCTATGCACCGCAAACTTGAAGCCATCGGAGGAAGCACAAAGCTACCAAGGTAAGAAACCTTGCAAAGCCTCATGAGACGGCAAAAATGCTCAAAAGAACTAAGCCCCTCCCCACTGCCTTTTGTCCAGGTGCTTTCCCTTTGTTCCTCTTGTTCTTCGCCCGTGGCCGCACTTTGGCAGCAGGGCCTGCTGCCTTGTCGCCTTCGAGCGCCTCTTCCTGGTCAAAAATCCACAAGCGGGATAGTGGCTCCTTTCTGAATCTTTGACACTGGGAGACTGGCGCCGCTTTCTTTACAATGCATGCAGCGGCCAAGGATCGCCTTGGCGACCTCCAAACCAGGCTAGATGTTCAATATGATGTTTAAGCTCTTATGCTCGCCGTGTAATGGCGTACAATAGTTTGATCGCAGTGCTTTGATAGATTAGCCAGCCCAGTCCCCAAGTGCCTTCGACGCCTCTTTGGCCTTCCTCTTCGGCTTGCCGCGAGGTGCAGCGGAAGTCTCTTTGCCGCTGCCATCTGCGCAAGCCTGCACCGGTCCATGAGAAGGGCAAAGCTGTGAATTGCACCAAGCCCTGTCTACCTCAAAAGGTCTTTATTTGTAAGGTAAACGTATAACAACAGAAATCATTGCCGTGTTGTGATGCCCAGAGAAGCAACTGCAAGCCTCCAGAGGGTTGTAGAATGCTCGGACAGGGTCAAACAAGTTGCGGCCAACTTTGCCGGGCCAATCACACCAATTAATGTTCACGCATCTGCTCAGCTTCCAGCCCGATCCTCCTTCTCTCGATATGCGTCATCCTGAATGCCCAGGCAACCCAAGCTGTGCTGAAGACGAGGCTCAGCTCTTAGATCTATTATAGTAGTCCTACAAATCACATTGATGCAGAACAGCACACAACAACATGTATCTGACATAGAAGGCGGCCAACAAAAAAGTGTTCAAACATATACTTATTCAAAGAGCAACGTGCTTGACACTTGCGGACAGCGCTCAACAACCACACACATGATAAACGCTCCAAAACTAGTTTGCAAAATGTTCAACATGCACTTGGTAAAAAAAGGCAGCAGCGCTCACGTGGCAAGGCGCTCTTGGCTCCGCCGCGCCCTGCAGCGGAGGGGGCAGCTGGGGCAGCTCGCCCTGTGAGAAGCGGACGAGCCAGGATCCAAGCGAGCTACACGGAAAGCGTGCCGCGAGCGGGACCATCCAAAGTCAGCTTGCGTCATGCACAACCCTGGGTGGGATGGACACTTCTCTTGAGGGTGTGCAAGTTGCCCCACGGAAACAAAGATCATGTCGCGAGCAATCCCCCGCATCTTCAAACCGCGGCTGTGCCTTGGTCATATCTTGACCCCATGGCAAGCAAACAGTTGAGGTTGCCATGCAAGAACTCATGCTTCAAGCAGTCTGTTTGCAGCCTGGGTATCGGACCTCTAAGATCGCGGCGCATGGCTGGACAGTCTCCGAACCTGGTTCTTTCGGCGTTGCGCACAAGCGGCTACACACACCAACAGAAACAACAAACAAACAAGCAATCAAACAAAGAAACACACCAACAAAGAACAATAAGATAAATAAGAAAGAAAGAAAGAAAGAAAGAAAGAAAGAAAGAAAGAAAGAAAGAAAGAAAACAAGAAAGAAAGAAAGAAAGAAAGAAAGAAAGAAATAAAGAAAAAAAGAAAGAAAACAAGAAAGAAACAAAGAAAACAAGAAATAAAGAAAGAAAGAAAGAAAGAAAGAAAGAAAGAAAGAAAGAAATAAATGAAGAAAGAAAGAGAGAAAGAAAGAGAGAAATAAATAACTAAATTAAGAAAGAAATAAAGAAATAAATAAATAAAGAAATAAATGAATAAAGACAGCAAGACAAGAACAAAAAGAAAGAACGAAAGAAAGAAATAAATAAAGGAATAAATAAATTAAGAAATAAATAAAGACACACATAAAGAACAGAAAACAAAAAAATAAGGAACACAAAGAACAAACACAATAAATAATGAAAGAATGAAACAAACAGAAAGAAAATAAAGACACAAGGAAAACAGAAAGAAGGGGAAGGAAGGAAGGAAGGAAGGAAGGAAGGAAGGAAGGAAGGAAGGAAGGAAGGAAGGAAGGAAGGAAGGAAGGAAGGAAGGAAGGAAGGAAGGAAGGAAGGAGGGAAGGAGGAGGGAGGGAGGGAGGGAGGGAGGAAGGAGGGAGGGGGAGGGAGGGAGGGAGGAAGGAAGGAAGGAAGGAAGGAAGGAAGGAAAAAAGGAAGGAAGGAAGGAAGGAAGGAAGGAAGGAAGGAAGGAAGGAAGGAAGGAAGGAAGGAAGGAAGGAAGGAAGGAAGGAAGGAAGGAAGGAAGGAAGGAAGGGAGGGAGGGAGGGAGGAAGGAAGGAAGGAAGGAAGGAAGGAATCGGGAGGGAGGGAGGGGAGGAAGACGAAAGGGACAACACTTTGCACGCAACAATTCATGCGCGTTGTTTCTTGTGTGAGAAGGTTGTGACGTTCCGGCACTGATGAGCTTGACCTCGGCTTCCAGGCCGTGCAAAGCAGTTATGCTGCTACGAAAAGGCTGCCAGAAGCAAGATCGTCTGAAGGCTCCACTTGCGTCAGTACCCGTTTGAGTCACACCTTCATTGCTGCACCAGCCCAAGCCTGTCGAAAGCTTTGTCGGAACATCAAACTTCGCTACACAAACAAAATTCCGGCTGCGTCTGCTACTTGCTAGACATTCTACGCATGTCCTACAAAGCAAAAGAGCAGCCGCAATGACGCACTCCAGACGCCTCAGGGCCCACTAATCGTCATTGCGTGCCTACATCACCATGGGAATTCTAAAGCCAAGGCCTTGCAGAAACTAAGCGTGTTCAAGATTCCTCCTGAACCTAATATTGTGCAATTGCAGCTCGCGCACCGTCTGAATCTGAAGTGAAAGAACCCACAGTTCACATTTCCTCTGACCAGCCACATGCCGCCAAAATGTCCTGCCTGTCAGCGGCGCTGGCGCAACCTGCCAGCAAACTGTGCAGCTGCAGCGGGCATGCGGAGTGGAATCACAAGTCGTCCAAGTTCAACTCAACATCAAGACTCTACCCGAGCAATGATGCCCGCAAGCAGCACGGTGATGGTTTCGCAAAGTTGAGAACTTAAAATGCATATCATACATTCTACATACAATATCATGTCACGTATATTCGCCCCCCACACCAGTCAAGGACCCAACACTCCAAAATTTGTCCGTCGCGCGGCAAAAATCCCTGCTCCAGCTGCCTCCAGTCCGCCTGAGGCAAGCCAGGAAGCGGTCAGCCCCCATGCTTTCGCAAAGCGTGCCAAATCCCGCAAGAAACCGATCGAACCCCTTGAGACCGGTCACGGTCCCCTCTAGCTAGAAAGCGAAATTTCCCTCAAGGATCGGTTCAACTCCAGTCAAGTCCTCTCAGAAACCGATCAAATCACCCCTAGAAACCGGTCAACTTCCCAATCAAATCCCCTCCAAAGACCGGTCAGGACCCGCTAGAAACCGGCAAAATGCTCAAAGCCGGTCAAAGCGCCAGAAACCACTCAAATCCCCTCGAAAAACCTTAGAACAGGCCAAACTCCCCTCTGGAAACCTGCCCCTCTAAACAGAGTCAGATCCCACCAAAAACCAGCAAAATTCCCCCCCCAAACCAGTCAACTTCCCTAGACATTTGCACCTTCGCTTGGCCCAAGCTCACTGCCATTCTGTGGCTCTTTGCGGCTCTCGTTCTGGCCCTTGAAGCCATGTGGAAACGTGCGGACATGCACGCACCTTCTACCTTGGAAACCAGCTCACGCATTTTCCACTTAACAAAGCCAGCCAAAAGCGGACTGGCCGAGGCGGGCAACGCGAAGCGTTTACAATTTTCTATACGTACGTAATATATAGCGCCCCCGGGCTCCGTGGAAATGACTCCAATTGCGGGTGCTAGGCTGTGTTCAAGACGATACTTTTACTCATCGTTGTACAAAGATGTGATATTCAACATTCTGCACATCGTGAAAATGCTGGCAAATCAGCGGTTGACCATGCTGTTTCTGGTGCTGTCCCTGCCTGCTGAATGCTGACAACATCTGCCTGGCCAGAGCAAAGCAAATTCAGGTCCCCCCCCCCACATGGTTAGCTTCCCAGAATAGTTGCTGTTTCCCTTCAAAGCCAGCCACGAAGGTATGCCGCTTTAGCAACACGCAAATGCAAGGCTGTGGCATTTCATCTGTACACCCCGTCAGCTCTGGGCATTTTAAATCTGCGCCTCTGGCACGTCGGACATATCTGCCTGCAAAGCGGAGCTTTGTCTTCAAGGCACAAGGCATGGGCAAGCGTCATGCTTTCGCGCATAGCGGGACGAATGTGTCGGCGTAAACACATGTTAAAATGAAATGAAACGCATGCTTTGTGTTTGTGCACGCTGGTCGATGCAGGATGTCTACCTTCAACAGGACGTACCAGTCTGGCTTCAGGGCTGCAACTGAATCTCGCTTCATCATCAAGGCCCGTGTGACCATCCCAGTGACAGTGATTCCAGCTAGTCACAGAAGATCAGCTATGTTGTTTGTTCTCATGTTGATTGCCACTGTGGCGTTGCCAGCTCATATGATGCTCAGAAAGCGTGGTATCTAAGGCCTCTACTCGATCGATCTTCATGCACAAACCTGAAGATATGAAACAAACACATATCAAGGCCAGCACAAGACAAGTTTGCCAGCTCTGCGATGCAATTCATCCCCAAACAGTATCAGTCTTGTTCGTGACTTTGAGCTTGGTAGCTTCTAAGCATAGGTGTGTAATCGATTGTGCGGACAAGGCTTACACTTGCAATGCAACATGATTCCGCTTTCAATCCTTCCCTTGTTGACACACATACCTCTGCATGCTCACGCAATTGAACTTAACAATTGGCCCTCGAGCGGTCAACAAGCTCGTCTTGAAAGAACGCCCGTTAATTTTTTGGGAGAGAGTCATCTGCGTCTACGGTCTATGAGCAACCGCAAGGCATGTCTTTTTTCTCTGAGTAAGCCATGCGCTTGGTGATAGGCTTTCAAAAACAACAGGGGGAACCCAATGAAATAGCCGATTTCAATTAGGGCAGGGGGCCCCGTTGTACGTTTCCAGACAGCAGCATCAGGTATTGAGGAGGTATGGGAGATGCCTCTGTAAAGCACGCGTCTCTCCCCCACCTCCGCCATGGGTCGCAAGCGCCGCCTCGCAAAGCACAGGGCTCCTATTGAGTCCCCTGCACCTTGCATGGGCAAACAGTCCACCAAAAAGTCAGAAATAAACAACCACACAAAAGGAACGCACATGGTATATTCCCAGCGGGCGAGCAAGGAAGCAGGCAAGCCAGCAAATCAACAACACACGCAGGTGCCTTTTGACTACCATAAAAAGCCTTGTCCATGTTCAACTCCTCTGCGGCTTCCTCAATGCCTCACGTAATAAATCACGGCTTTGCTTGCAGTTCGATGGCTCACACGGTGAAATATGTGATTGCGGCATGTTTTGGCGACCATATCATTGATCTCCACGGATTCAGGCAATGAACAATGATCATATTCAAAATCTCAGCTGCATTCCAATCCAAATGCATCTTTCGCTGTTGTCATGCATCATGTATGGCGGAAAGGGGCTCGCTTGTCAATATGGTAGCGCCAAACAGATGTCACCGAAGGCACAGACATTAAAGGCCAATTCTCCCAATCCTTCATAGCTCCCTTCTGACTTGGATGAGCCAGCTCGGCAAGAAAATGAGCACCAGTGCATTGCCATCAACGGACGTGCACCTGTTCCTGATGCAAACAACGACAACATAACCTTGCAACCTAAAAGGGTCTGAACATCCAAGCATGACGGCAAAGCGCATGTCACCATGCGAGTAGACAGCCTAACGTGAAGACTGCGAAGCTGGACCCACATTTATTCCCCGAAAACAGCAAAAGCAAACAAAGCACGCTTCAGCAGCGCCTTGGTTCCCTTTCGCCAAATCATCTTGCGCCCTGTATGCTAGCTCAAATAGCAAACTAAAGCATGACAACAAGCTGATCCCTCATTTTGCGTTGGTGGCGGCAACTGCAAACAACTGTGAATACCCTCGACCCTCGCCGATTAATTATGTGGCGCGTCCCCACTGGAACTTTTCCTGAGGAAGTTTTGGGCCTTTTGAGTCTGAAACGATCTGGAAATGCGGGCCGATTCGAAACATTTCCTCAAAATAGTGGTCCCTAAAATGTGTGGTTTCCTAGTGGCTTTCCGATCAATACCAAAAGGGGGACTTCTTTTTGTTGAGAAACCTCCGCATTTCACGGCTCCAGGGCGCTCCCTTGCTGCGCATCGGCCTCTTCTTGGGGGCTTCCATGCTGCATGAGGCGCCCTCCCACCGAGGTGGGAAGCTTCCAGCCACGCGCGCTGGGCTGAAGCCCAAGGTGCGATTTGGTTGGTTGTGGGGCTTCCCTGAAAGAAAACCCAAAGGAAACTGCCCTCTTCAAATGGATCGCATCCATTTTGAGGAAATTTGCGGCAAATGAAGGAAGCCCAACAATCGCGCCCAGTGCGGACTTGGAAGGGGAATGGATTGGAAGGGTGCCAACTGCTTGTTCTGCCATGATTGCTCTGCCATCTTTGTTCAGAAGGGGACACCAACAAAAGCAGTACTGGGAGGATAGACCCAAGAGAATACGTGAAAAGCACACAAATGATGTAGTGCTCCTCTGCCCTAACCCCTACATGTTGCTGGAAAAGGCTTCCAGGGCGGTTCTCTAAAGTGGCATCGCGGCGTGTGAGGGCGTGATCCATCGGCCGCCTTGAAAACTACAACAGCTGCGGATGCGCTCATGCAGCGAGAGCTGCCACTACGGATTGCGGGCGGCTCCATGTGTATGGGTGTCTCGAATTCCATTTCCAAGGCCTTCCATTTCTTTTGGCAGGTCTGTTGTGAATTCAGAAGGCCGCAAATGAATGAACATAGCTCAGATCCATGAGTGACGAATGCCCCTCATACCCAGGGCCCTGGTTTGCATGTCATGGCTCCAGTGATACCGTGCCTTTGGGCAAGCCGCAAGGCCGCCGAAGAAGAAGGACCTGAGCCCCGGCCTATGGCTGGGAGATCCTTCCGTGCAAATGGAGGCGGTGGCAAAGGCCTAAAGAAACCAGGGCTATTTCAAGGACCTCCTGTTTAGGATGCACCTATTTGGGGTTCCAATCGAATTGGATCTTATACCTCCTTCCGCGTGGGCAATGCCCAGGTCTGAGAAAAGGTCCGGTTGACGCTTCTCATGACGCAGGTGGCCGAAATGATGCAAATTCTGCAATCTTCCAACAACTGTACCAATGTAGAGCCCAAATATCAATAATTGAGTGAGAGGCACAGGTTAGAACGTGAATCGTTTTGCTTGCTGCAGCCGTTCATTTGTTTCTTTGTGGTTTTGGCGTGATGTGTTGCTTTGAAACCACGCCAAGAACAAACAATTCCACAGCCAAAGTCTGCAAACGTATTTTCAAGCTGCAAAGCGGCAGCTACAGAGCTTAGCGAGCAACTTGGCCTCAGAAAACATAGCGCTACGTTTTCCCGCAGAGAAAGCACCAACACCTTACCACCAGGTATATCTACCGCCAGCAAGATGTCAATACTTTCTGGCAACAAATCAGCTAATGCTGGCACCCGATTAGTAATGGGATAGTCAATAATGCAAAGTTTGTTTCCTTATTGTGGTTCGCCCCCATTTTTGATGGGGACCAGAATAATAATTCCAAGCTGATTGTTTTTCCCCCCGGGGAACACATTAGTTGCAAGCCCCCAGCCCCCCCTCCCAGAAAATAAACTGTCAGTTGCTGTACTCAAAGGCATTCCCCTTCTAATTGGCGGCCCACTTACTTACAAGCATTTCACTTTCAATTTAGTGGCCCACTTGCTTAAACGCGTTCCCCTTTTAACTGGTTGCTCAAAAACAAAACCCAAAGCCAGCTGAAACCTCTGAAATTTGAAAACCATCCCCAGCCCTGAAACTGCAAATCCTTTATTAAACCGTGTTTAAAAAATGACAAGAAATCAGGACAAGGGTACCCCTCACAGACCCCACTCAACCACAACAAGGGCATTGTTTAGGGGGACCACATTAGTTGCAAGCCCCCAGCCCCCCTCCAGAAAATAAACTGTCAGTTGCTTTACTCGAAAGCATTCCCCTTTTAATTGGCGGCCCAATTAAAAGCATTCCCCTTTCAATTGGTGGCCCACTTGCTTAAAAGCATTCCCCCTTCAATTGGTGGCCCACTTGCTCAAAAGCGTTCCCCTTTTAACTGGTTGCTAAAAAACAAAACCCAAAGCCAGCTGAAACCTCTGAAATTTGAAAACCATCCCCAGCCCTGAAACCGCAAATCCTGTATTAAACCGTGTTTAAACAAATGAGAAAAAAGAAGAAAAAACACAATCAGGACAAGGGTACCCCTCACAGACCCCACTCAACCACAACAATGGCATTGTTTAGGGGGACCACATTAGTTGCAAGCCCCCAGCCCCCCTCCAGAAAATAAAGCCCTCCTTGGCTGAAAGGCACACCCTTTGAATGGCTACAGAAAGATCTGAAGGGAAGTGGTTGCAATACTAAAGTAGTATTCCAAAAAGTCTGATCAGGAAGAAGTGGTTGAAAATACTAGTATTCCACAAAGTATGCTCAGGAAGTGGTGGTTGCAATACTAAAGTAGTATTCCAAAAAGTCTGCTCAGGAAGAAGAGGTTGCAATACTGAAGTAGAATTCCAAAAAGGAAGTGGCTGCAATACTAAAGTAGAATTGGCCCCAAAATCCTCCATTGTTTGGACGTCCCAAAAGTGAGCCTACAGAATTCTGGCGCCTCCATGGGGGGGCCCTTTATTAATCAAGTTCCAACATTACACCTCAGCATCGGGCAACTCTGCTGCTCGGATCATGGGTTTCTGATTGGTGATCATGATTGCTGGAGGGAGGGTATCTCTTGTAGCCCTTCTCAGCCACGGGCAACATTTCCTGCTTTAATCGACATAAACAAATCCGAAAGCAAGGTAGCATCCCTGACTTTGTGGCCACATTGGGTAGGCCCCTTACGTCCTCCCAGTATCATCGGTAGTAGACTCATTGCGAGATACCGCTGATGCCCCAACCAAAGACACGTCCGGGGGCTGCGTCTGGTTTGCCTGGTGCAAAGCACTCATGAGCCCGGGGCATGGCTCTCGTTCACGCCAAATCCTGGCAACCGAGGCGCCAAAGCTGCTCCAACCCGAAGATTGCGCCAAGCGCGGTCATTGGTCAGGCGGCAAATAAAGGCTTCCGAGGGGGAATACAGCTGAACGCCAGTGCCTATCTTTGATGCCACGTGTGCCGTGCTCATGGAGGACGCGGTTTCACAGGCAACCCCCCAACCCCTCCTTGCGTGGAGATTCATCAGTGGTTTCCCATCGCAGTGCATGCCGCCAGCAGTAATGCCGCATGCATGGGTCGGTCCTGAAAAGAACTTCGCCACGTCTTTGGTGGTGCTTGAGAAGGGTACGCCCCGCCTCAGCATCATCCAAGCCGGCTCGCGCCTGATGTCACTGTAAACGAGTCAAAGAAAACAAAGCCTCTCCCAGCTGGAGCGTCGCAATTTCCCAAACATGGACCAACCTACTATGTGTGGCAAATTCCAAAAAAACAGGGAGAATGGCCATGGTTCCATCCAGAGGCGGCCTTTGGCTGGAACAACATCAATCTGCACAAACGTCTGACCTGAAATCTGGCATCCCCAAGTCTCAGAAGAGTTCATGTGCCTTCAGCAAAATTATTCAAATATGATCCCCGAGATAGGCATGCAGTGTTGTGCTGTGCCATGCCGTTTTATCAATGATCATCATACTGAACCTGGAGCATGCCAAGCTACGAGGCTGAATCAACATCAAGCCAGCATTGACGCAAGCTCTACCAACACCAAAATAATACCAAACCATCGGGACAGCAGGCAAGGGGGGCTGGGTGATCTCAACAATGCGTATTGTATACATGTGAATAGTGCTCAAAGTTGAGCTGGCCACCTGGTTCTCACAAGTTCAAAGCAACTCGTCATCGTGATTCCCCCAATGCCAAACCCCGGCGCAAGTTTGCGTAGGGCTTTCAAGGAGCCGTCCTTTTTACTCCAAACCCAAACTCGTCCTCAGCGATGCCATTTCTGCCTGCAGCGCTGACCAGTGATCGGCCTAGCGAGGTGCGCCAAGTGTTGTCATGGCCCTATGTTGTCAGTACACAACAAGTTGGATGCATTTGTTTCGTTTTGTCACCAGTTGCCAATTGTGCATAGGTTTTTGGGCCGAGCTGGCACTTGCTTCAGACTTGTTGCTGGGCTTTGAGCTGCAGCTTGGTGCACCCAATGCCGCTGCCTAAGAGTTCTTCCAAACAAAGGTGCGCGGGATTCGCCAACCCGCAAGCGACAAGTGCCATAACTGGGAAATGCTAGATTGGTACTCCGCATTGGCAAGTCTGAATTGATTTTCTTCACATCCCGACTTGCACTTCCGAATGACCTGATTAAAGCGCCTAGCAACAACTGGAGGAGACAACTGGAGGAGACCCAAGATGCCTAGCCGAACCCATCCTATTAGCTGCCACCACCCCAATCCGATTGGGAGCCTGTGCTTATGTTTGAAACACCCATAGCTATGTAGGGTCAGTTGTGCTCGTTGAGGATTGGGCAAAACTTGCTGAAACATCACACTTCAAGGTGCTCCAGGCTGGATGCCCGCAGCCTCTCGCTCTTGTGGCAGCTTGTCTGACAGGCCAAGCATGACATCGGCATACATCTGCTGGTGGAGGATCAGCACGCGCTGTCGGTGGCCCAAGATCCTTACGCCAATTGGTCAAGCACACACAACCAGATTGGAGGCGAGATTGCAGAACAATGACCTGCGTCATGTCATTGAACCACGCTAAACAAACTAGCGACACTAGTAGCACTAACAACACGCAAGGCCGAAGAGCTTGAGCGCCACCACGTCAGCTACCCCCGAGATCGTGCTCATATCAGAGTCGAGCGCTGAATGATGTAACCCTAGCTGAAATATGGCTTTGTGTGTGGGTGCGCGCGCGTGTCAAGATAGGGGGGTTGTCCTTTGGCTTGGCTTCCATGTTAAGCCAACCCCAAAAAGATCCAGAAATGGACTGTCAAACCCCAGTGGCTTCTGGGTACGTCAAGGCCGCCAAGGCTCATGTCCAACGCCTCCCGCACGTCTTGCTGCTCAGGCACTTCGCTCAAGCCCTGCAGCGTCTCGACACCAAAACACCAGTGCCGGGCAACTTGTCCTAAGGAACTGGGACGTATTTATTGTTGGCAAGTGTTTCTTTCAATTGTCTCCAAACTTCATTTCCGCATCTTCCAAATACGAGCTGGCAGAAGCACTCTCATGATGCAGAAAGGCAGAGCTCACTCATCCGGCTGGTGGCTTCCCTATATTGGGAGATATCAAGAACAACTCCCATCAACAATATTGGGATGTAGCGAAGCTGACCAAAACAGCTCATTCCCAAAAAAACGACATCATCAGTCGTGAGGTTGGTTTCTCCATCGTGAGGTCTCTCAAATTCCCCGCGAGATCGTTGATTCAACGAGCAACAAATCCCCGAGGCAATTCTCCGGCGCGACTCATCTCCCATGCCAAAACGGCCTGTGCGCCATGCCAAACCTCGGCCCTGCTCAGGAGCTCAGAGGTGATGAAGGCTTCATCAACTGCGGCACGAACCATTGAACGGAAGGCGGGCGAATGACTAAACCTCCTGCTCTCCTGTCAATGATGTCAATTATTGCCGGAATGATGGTGCTTTGTTTGCTGTATATGTGTTAATATCGTTTGTTGTTGCCATCCCTTTCGCTCGTCATAACACCTGGGAATGGAGGAGGACAGAGAGAAAGTCATAATTGCGTGCCTGTCCCAGTTTACCCGTCCTCGTCTATCAATGTATAAGGGCATACACAAGGTGTAAGCAGATGCTCTCCGACTATTACGTAGAATGCATGCAAATAAACGGATTTGGAAAAGTGTAAAACGGTAAAACATTAAATTAAAACGTTGTTTTTTTCTTGTTTCTTCTCTGTATTCTATCTCGTTTTCATTGTTTCATCCCCTTCCCTTACAATCTCGATCGCTTAGGGCATATAAAGGCAAAGGGGATGAAACAGGAATCTCCTGAATGGCGACGGCTCCTCATCCCAAAGTGGTCTCTGAATGTTTCACAAATGAAAGAGACGGGCCGTCCCTCCATTCATCACTTCCTGCCTTGATTGTTAACAATACGATTCTACAGAGCATTGAGTATTTGCAAAAGGTCGGCATCATGTCCTGCCTTCTGCACCAAAGCCTAGAGGCAGAGGCGACTGCAAAGAGGAATAACGGGCCCAGGACATACCTGAGGGCGTCTCGCTTCGAAGGGAGCAACTATCCGGCCATTCACAAGCACAATCAGTTGAATCGGTTGGGTTTGTGCCTGGTCTCATTCATGCAAGAGTCCACCATAGTCCACCAGTCACCTTTGAGCCTAGTCTTCATGTTCACTGAAAGCCAGACTGCCTGGAAAGGCAACAGTTACCTGCGGGCTAAGCAAGGATCTGCCAAAGCGACACGCATGTTGATGGGGTGAACGAAGCGCTACCGAGAACAACAGAAGAAACAGGAATGGACACTTGCAAGGTGTCGTGGGAATTTGCGCAATGTCCACCAAACTGTGAAAGATTGCTGACATCACAATTGCTTTTTCGGTGTTTGTTCTCAAGTTCATTGGTTACTTGGTTTGTACAATAGCTACCTTGGTCACAAACAAAGCTTTCTTGGGATCAACACGTTCGATTGTGTAGATCTCACACACACACACACACATTGCAATGCTGCATACACTGTTTGCCATCCTCCTGACAGTTGTGCGAACATAAGTCGCTGTCCTGCTGTGGCTATTCACAGTTGCGCTTGAAATGATAACACTCGCCAATGATAACATGCAATCATCATGTGCACAACCACCCCAACCCCCAAAAGCTGCAGTCTGCGCCGGTCTGACCAGCATCCATGCCAAGAACAATGGGATAAATTGTCTTGTAAGGTACTGATGTCTCCTCTAGGTGTCGGGTAGTCGAAGTGTCTTCGTATTGCCTTCTAGGCCTTCAAGCGTTCTGGCATGGATAGAAATGGCCCCAGATAGCTCAGTTCGAGCTTCCGAAAGTCGTTTCAACTATTTGGATCTGTCGATGGATGGGGCTCTCTCAAACTGGGCTGCTTCCCTTTGTTTTCCCTTTTATCTCACCGAAAAGGGTTACCCTCGGAAACAACCTTTCACTGACACTCCAATTTGCTGGGGTACTGCAAAGCCATAAAAGAAAAGAAACGAGGGGGGGTGGGTGCTTTAAACCCAAATTGAGCCATGACTAGGGGAGTAAACTATGGATCCTTGTTTCGGCCCATACCTTGACAAAGGCGTACCCTCATAAACGACCACCCTCAGCACCCATCCCATCCGCGTCAAGTTGCCCTTGGTGCACGTGGCCTCCTCTGCCTGCAGATTGCAGCGCTGGAAATTCTGTGGACAAAATCCACGCCAGTGGCTAGGTGGCTTGTCCCAGTATCTCTAGGGTCTCATCCATGCCAACTGGTGCGATGTGGACTCTGTCCATCAGGTTTGGAAGAATAGAACCGATGGCAGTGGTAAATGATTAGAACCAAACCGAGCGCCATGATTTTCAAACAAACTGACCTGAAAAGGACGCCCATGTGACAAATCCGAAAGCTCAACATGGAAGGTCCTAGCTATTTCATGCAATTCATGCACAACATAGCAGCAGCAGGTCCCAAGGGAAATCATGTCAACCTATGAATCAATGAACCCAACTGGTCGCCTAAAGTGACTCCCCAGAGTCATTGGAAAAGCAGCAAAGTCTCGAGGACACGTCCGAAGAACATGAGCTGGGCGCTGCTTCGATCCTGCTTAGGGCACTTGCTATCGCTATCATTTGATCGGCGACCAAGCAGCTGCCGCATAGCCCTCCCCCTCTCTTTCTGGCCTCGTCTGCCTGCCCGCTGCGCAGGCGGAAGTTGCGAAGGCTGGAGGCCCAGAGAAGCCTGGAAGGGGCATCTGGCCGTCTGCCTTCTTTTGTGACCAAAACCGCCGGTAAAGATGTGGCTAAAGTTGGCCCACGAACAGTCATCAATTGAATGGTTTAGGGTTTAGGGTTTAGGGTTTAGGGTTTAGGGTTTAGGGTTGACAGAAGCTTGTTATCGGCAGAATCGTGCATGCGCTGTCAATAATGTGCTCCATCCGCAAGCAACACGCTCATACTTCCAAAGCCCGTACATGGGTGTTCCGAACCGTGGCTCAAAACCAAACATTGTCTGCACGTCCAGCAAACCTTCGACCGAAAGACCGGAAGCCTGTAAGACAGGCCCCAAATCACCGAGTCAAGGTTCAGGGTAATGTGCGTCGAAGGCCTAAGTCAGCTGATCGCTGCAAAGGAGCGTGTGGGAGTTCCTCCCTCGATATGCCTTGAATATCAAGGAATGTTCACAAGGCCGTAAATCCTTCAAAGTGGCATCTGGCGTTTGCAGGCCGCCCCACCCCCCGCCCCCGCAGGGGGGAAAAAACTTGAGAACACCTTAAGCCTTAGCATCTTCACTTCGCTCCCCTGAAAAAACAACAAACCTGATAGAAGCCACGAACCCGAATGCGGACACGAAAGCGAACTCTTGTCACATCTCGCGTCGCGTCTCTAGTCACGTTTCTATACTCACGTCTCTGGTCACTTCGGGTCACGTCATTGTCACGTCTCTCGTAGCAACTCTGGCCACGTCTCTTGTCATGACTTTCGTCAAACCTTTCAGCATGTGTCTCGCTGCGCCTCTCGTCACGACTCTGTCACGTCTCCCATCACGTCTTGCGTGGCGACTCCCGTCATGTGAGTCGTCACCCCTCAAGTCGCGTCTCTGGTCTTTTATCACTTGTCTCGCCGCGCCTGTCGCCATGACTACGTCGCGTTTCCCGCCGCGTCTTTCTTGGCGACTCTCGTCACACGTCTCTTGTCACGCATGAGTCGTCGGCCCTCGCGCCACGTCTCTTGTCACATCTCTCGTCACGTGTCTGGTCCAATCTCGTCACGTCTCTCTTTTTTCCTTGTCCTTGTCGCGTCTCACGGAACAACGCTTCTTGTCACATCTATCGCCACGTAGCTAGACGTCCCTTGGCAGGTCTCTTACTAACAACTCTGGCCACATCTCTCGTCATGACCTTCGTCACATCTTTCATCATCGCACCTTTCATCACGTGTCTCATGGCGCCTCTCGTCAACTACGTAGCGTCCCCCATCGCGTCTTTCTTGGAGACGTCTCCTGTCACGTGTCGCAACCCTCGCCACGTCTCTGCTCACACGTCTCTTGTCATATTTGCCGTCCCCTCCCGTGTCACGATCCTTGTCACGTCTCTTGTCGAATCTCTCGTCACGTCTCTGGTCACGTCTTTGGTCACGTCCTTTGTCACGTCTGTCGTAGCAACTCTGGCCACGTCTCTTGTCATGACTTTCATCTTATCTTTCATCATGTGTCTCAACACGCCTCTCGTCACGACTACGTAGCATCTCCCGTCACGTCTTTCTTGGAGCTCCTGTCGCGCGCGACGTCACCCCTCGCGTCACGTCTCTGCCTCGCCACGTCTCTTCTCACACGTCTCTTGCCATATTTGCCGCTCCGTCTCTGGCAACCTCTCGCGTCACGATCCTCGTCACGTCTCTTGTCGCATCTCTTGTCACGTCTCTGGTCGCGCCATACCTCGTCTCTTGTCACATCCATCACATCCATCGTCATGCCTCTGGTCACGTCTTTGGACACGTCCTTTGTCACCTCTGTCGTAGCAACTCTGGCCACGTTTCTTGTCATGATTTTCATCTTATCTTTCATCATGTGTCTCAACACGCCTCTCGCCCACGTCTTTCTTGGAGATCCTGTCGCGCGCGTCGTCACCCCTCGCGGCACGTCTCTGGTCACGTCTCTTGTCACGACCCTCGCCACGTCTCTTCTCAAACGTCTCTTGTTATATTTGCCGCCCCGTCGCTGGCATCCCCTCGCGTCGCGATCCTCGTCACGTCTCTTGCCGCATGTCTCGTCACGTCTCTGGTCACGCCTTGTGTCGCGTCTCGTCGCGACTCACATCTCTTGTCACATCCCTCACATCCATCCTCACGCCTCTGGTCACGTCTCTTGTCACGACCCTCGCCACGTCTCTTCTCGAACGTCTCTTCTCGTGTTTGCCATCCCGTCTCTGGTAACCTCTCGCATCACGATCCTCGTCACGGATCTTGTCGCATCTCTCTCGTTACGTCTCTCGCCACGGCTCTCCTCTTCTCACATCCATCGTCACACCTCAGGTCACGTCTGTTGTCACGTCTTTGGTCACGTGCTTTGTGACGTCTGTCGGCACCAACTCTGCTCCTGTCTCTCGTCATCACTTCCAACATCTCTCATCATGTGTCTCGACGCGCCTCGCGTAACAACTCCGTCACATCTCCCATATTTGCCGTCCCGTCTCTGGTAACCTCTCGTGTCACCATCCTTGTCACGTCTCTTGTCGTATCTCTCGTCACGTCTCTGGTCACGCCTTATGTCGCGTCTCGTCGCGACTCTCCTCGCACGTCTCTTGTCACATCCCTCACATCCATCGTCACGTCTCTGGTCACGTCTTTGATCACGTCCTTTGTCACGTCTGTCGCAACAACTCTGGCCACGTCTCTCGTCGTGACTTTCATCTTATCTTTCATCACGTGTCTCGACGCGCCTCTCGTCACGACTACGTGCATCTCCCGTCGCGTCTTTCTTGGAGATCCTGTCGCGTGCGTCGCCACCCCTCGCGTCACTGAACTGGCAATTGTTCATGTTTTTAAAGTTTTTTTTGCATTTTGCATTTTTCCAGTTTTCGCGGGCATTTGTTGCTCGATTTATGTCGCTGAGGTTGACTTTAGAGAAGTTAATTGTTTGGGTTTCAAGTTGTTTTTCGGTGGGAAGGGGGGGGGCAGGACGGGACAATAATAATGCGCCTGTGTGCCCATTGTTGCGAAAGGCTTGATTCCTGCAGCATCGTTTTTCGCTGGCTGCTCGCCTTCGGAGAGTCGGAACGGAATTATCTTTTTTCATCTCGTTTGTTGTTTGAGGGCTCGGTGGCTTGCCCCGCCCCACCCCCCCTCCTCCCAAGCCCATCAATGATTGACGTTGTTGCGTTTGCTTGCGCGGGTTCGGTGGCTTGCCCCGCCCGGCCCCCTTAAACAAATCCTTTCGCTGGTTTTGGCGGCATGCCCCATCCAGCAATAGGGTGCCCAGCTCCCCCTTCCTCCAAAGTGAAGCCCGCCAACGATTGAAGTTGTTGCATGTGCTTGTGCTTGCGGGTTCGGTGGCTTGCCCCGCCCGGCCCCTACGCCTTCTGCAAGCAAGAGGGAAGGCGTCTCAGGGCAAAAGAGTCTCACAGGAAAGCTGTGAGCTGACGAACGGACATGCGTGATGCGACGCAAGAGCCGCCCAAGTCGTATGTTTCTTGCGGATCATATTTTTCAAGCGGATAGATGTGTTTTTGCAGAGCAGATATGCTTGTTGCGGTGTGCGCTTGCGGGTTCGGTGGCTTGCCCCGCCCGGCGCCCACAATGACTTACGCTGGTTTCGGTGGCATGCCCCATCCAGCAGTAAGGATTCAGAAGGGGCGCTTCTGAAACCGCCCTTTTCCGGAAGCGTTCTCAGAAAGGCTTTCGTGTGTAAGGGCGGCTCGAAAAACAAGACTTTCGTGGGAAGTCTGCCTGCAAGTCTTGTTTGGTTTTTTGAAATTTCGGCTCTGACATGTTGAACTGCCCGTAGAAGGGAAATAGCGTGAGAAAGTCTACCAATGGCACGGGGGCCTGCTCGCAAAAAAGGCAGCGCAGTGAAGCAGCTTTGCTCCTACAAGAAGTGCAGAGCCAAGAAGGACGTGAAGAACAAGTGCCACACAGCTCGCCGTGAGGAAGTGGATCTTGAGCAATGTCGGCCCTTAAGAAGCCACTGTCAGACTGTAAAGTTCTGTGGTCAAACGCATTTAGACGCCTGCCTATCAAAAAAGAAAAAAGCTCCACCCGTTGGAAGGGAAGCTCTGGACACGCAGCAACTGGCCAGTCTTTTTCAAACCTTGGTGGAGCTAGGCCGTGGCCACAAACAAAAAAAGGGTCCTGCGGGCTGCGTGGGGCTTGTCTTTGTTTACAAACTTCAGGTTCGGAAAGACTTGCAGCGTGCCCGTGTCCATGTCTGCCAAATCGCAGTATAGCTGAGCAAAAGCTTCGTGCTCCGACGACAAGAGCTGTCCCGCCAGCTGCCCAAGCCACTGCTGAAACGCGACTGCGTCCAGTTGGGGACAAGCCACCTGAGCTGGCACAGTTGGCTTCAGGCAGTCCTTGAATTCTTCTGCACCAGCAAAAGGGGTGGCCAAATCATGAAGCAAATGCACAACAGCCGTGGCAACTCCGACCGCAGAGAAGTCATGAAGCTTCCGTGCGCCCAGAAGCATGTGCTGAGGACGCAAATCCTCTGCGCACGTTTGCCCTCGCAAGACAAGGATCGTCTTTGAGCAGTCCGAGTGCACAGTGACGCAGGAGGCAGCGTTGAGCGTTTGTCGCGTGCGAGCCCGCAGCGACTCGGCCAAGCAAAACTTGAGCTTCTGGGCTCGGCGGCGAAGGATCTTGCCGCCGGACCAGGCAATCCCATCATCACCGCCATCTTTTCCCTTGCGTGTAGCTCGCAGAACTGCGATGAACTCTTCGAGAGATGGGGCCATCAGACGCAGTCGGATGTCTTCATTTGATGCTGCGGCCTGGTGCCTTTTGGTTTTCTCATGGTCTCGGAAGTGGCTGACCTGCAATGAAGCAATGGTTCGAAACTCCGCTGACACATGCCCAGCAGCTTTGCAGGCAGCACAGCTGACGGAGAAGTCGCCTGTGTCCCACTGCACAGCCTCCAGCCACGGGAACTGCTCGGTCCACCGCCTGCCAAAGCGGGCCCATGCGCTCTGCGCGGACATTCCGGGCAGCTTGGGCCAGAGCTCTGTCCAGAGGGCGCTTGCGGAAAAAAACTTAAGTTTACGCACGAAGTTCCTGTCCAGAGGGCCTCTGGAATCCGAAGGTCGACTCAACAAGCCGCAGCGCTGTGGACTGTCCAAAGAACTAGAAACGTTCGAACACCGGGAATTTTGCGTTCCCCGAAATCCAAGAATTGTAGTCCACTCGACGGTCCGCAGCGCTGTGGTTTGTGGAGACAACTTATGGAAACCGGAGACCCTCTGGACAAATGGGGTCTGTGGAAAAAAACTTAAGTTTTTTTCCGCGGACCAAGCTGATCGGGCGAGCGTACGTGTCATGTGGGAAACTGGATGGACGTGACCGGACTGTCTCTCGGCAACCCTTGATCCTCAGCACTTCATGACGCCGGACGTCCTGATTCAATGTCCTTGGCTGGCCGCATGTTTTAAGCACCGTTCGATCTGCGTTTGACATCTCTCTGCAGCAGCAGCGGGGGCACGCCGCCGACACAAATCCAATGTGCTGGGGCAAGCCACCAACGCGGGCCGGGGCACGCCGCCTGAGCCACATCATGGTTACCAAACTCACAAACTTACGCGGCAGAGCGCGCAAAAGCCCAGCGTTGCGGCTCAGTTGGGCTCCCTGTCCGTGGGGTCGTCCTCCTCTTCCTCGGCTGGGTCTTCAGTGGCCGGCGGCGCGGCAGCCTTAGCCTTGACTCGTCTGCCCTGCTTGGGGGCTGGTCCGGCGCCTGGAGCAGGCGGCGCAGCTTTCAGCATGTTCTCCACCAGGTCGACCAGCGCCGAGCCACTGTTCGGCGGCCCTGCCCCCCCGTTCTTGGCAGGAGGAGGCACTGGGCCAAGCTGCCCAGCCTGGCTTTGCTCACCGGCGGCGCTTTTCCTCCGGCCTTGCCCCTCGTCACCGCTGTCCGCCTGCGTCGTGGTTGGCAGGCACGGCGAGACCGCTTGGTTTCAGACTGGTTTGAAATATTAAAGCAGCACAACAAACACTGCGTCTGTGCATAAAACAAAGCACTGGCCTGCAGAGCGTCGCGCAGCTCTGCAGCGTAATACTGACTGCTTGGGCTCTGCATGTGTGCCCACAAGCGGCCGAAGAGGTACTGCCGCACGACATTCATGTGAAGACTATTTTCCAGGCTGAGGTAAGCCGCCAACGCCGTCGCTGCTGCGCTGCCGCCTTTGAGGCCCTTCCCGCCAATTGGCACAACCACGCCCATGAAGAAACCTACGATGACGCCAGCAACGAGCGCAATCGACATGGCTGCAGCTTTCACGCCAGTGATGGGGCAAGCCACCAAAACACGGCCGCGCCTGCTAACTTGTCTAAGAGCCGCCAAGCGAACACAGCGCGTCTTGACTTGCCAAGCACGGATGGTTTTGCAAGCGGGCCGCAGTGACCAAACCTGGAAGCAATAGAAAACAACTGCCTTCTGAGCTGTCGCCATTGAGTCTGTGTAACCGCACAATCAGGAAAACTTTAAGGTCACTAGTCCAGATTTGGCGTGGGGCCAGGCCCCACTAAAAGTCTGGTAGTAACAATGCGCGCGCCCGCAGCTTGCAGGCAGACTTCCCACGAAAGTCTTGTTTTTCGAGCCGCCCTTACACACGAAAGCCTTTCTGAGAACGCTTCCGGAAAAGGGCGGTTTCAGAAGCGCCCCTTCTGAATCCTTACTGCTGGATGGGGCATGCCACCGAAACCAGCGTAAGTCATTGTGGGCGCCGGGCGGGGCAAGCCACCGAACCCGCAAGCGCACACCGCAACAAGCATATCTGCTCTGCAAAAACACATCTATCCGCTTGAAAAATATGATCCGCAAGAAACATACGACTTGGGCGGCTCTTGCGTCGCATCACGCATGTCCGTTCGTCAGCTCACAGCTTTCCTGTGAGACTCTTTTGCCCTGAGACGCCTTCCCTCTTGCTTGCAGAAGGCGTAGGGGCCGGGCGGGGCAAGCCACCGAACCCGCAAGCACAAGCACATGCAACAACTTCAATCGTTGGCGGGCTTCACTTTGGAGGAAGGGGGAGCTGGGCACCCTATTGCTGGATGGGGCATGCCGCCAAAACCAGCGAAAGGATTTGTTTAAGGGGGCCGGGCGGGGCAAGCCACCGAACCCGCGCAAGCAAACGCAACAACGTCAATCATTGATGGGCTTGGGAGGAGGGGGGGTGGGGCGGGGCAAGCCACCGAGCCCTCAAACAACAAACGAGATGAAAAAAGATAATTCCGTTCCGACTCTCCGAAGGCGAGCAGCCAGCGAAAAACGATGCTGCAGGAATCAAGCCTTTCGCAACAATGGGCACACAGGCGCATTATTATTGTCCCGTCCTGCCCCCCCCCTTCCCACCGAAAAACAACTTGAAACCCAAACAATTAACTTCTCTAAAGTCAACCTCAGCGACATAAATCGAGCAACAAATGCCCGCGAAAACTGGAAAAATGCAAAATGCAAAAAAAAAACTTTAAAAACATGAACAATTGCCAGTTCAGGTCACGTCTCTGGTCACGTCTCTTGTCACGACCCTCGCCACCTCTCTTCTCGAACGTCTCTTCTCGTGTTTGCCATCCCGTCTCTGGTAACCTCTCGCGTCACGATCCTCGTCACGCATCTTGTCGCATCTCTCGTCACGTCTCGCCTCTTCTCACATCCATCGTCACACCTCTGGTCACGTCTGTTGTCACGTCTTTGGTCAAGTGCTTTGTGACGTCTGTCGTAACAACTCTGCTCCTGTCTCTCGTCATCACTTCCAACACATCTCTCATTATGTGTCTCGACGCGCCTCGCGTCACAGCTCCGTCACATCTCCCGTCCTGCCTTTCGTGGTCTGTCTCATGCCTCTAGCCACGAGCCTACCCGCGTTTCGTGTTTCGTCACGACTTCGCGATCTCAAAATGCGCCCCGCGCCCAGCGAAAGCGACTCAGCCCGTCTCGTCTTGTCACATCCATCACATCCATCGTCATGCCTCTGGTCACGTCTTTGGTCACGTCCTTTGCCACCTCTGTCGTAGCAACTCTGGCCACGTCTCTTGTCAGAGGGTTCACTTTGCGCGCTCAACGCACCGCGGCACAGCGAGAGCGATTCGACCCACGCAAAGTGCGAAGAGGGTTCACTTCGCGTGCTCAAAACGCGCACCGCGCCACAGCGACAGCAATTTGACCCGCCCAAAGTGCGCAGAAGGTTCGCTTCGCCTTCTCAAAATGTGCACCGTGCCACAGCGAGAGCGATTCGACCCACCCAAAGTGCGCAAAGGGTTCGCTTCGCGTTCTCAAAATGTGCACCGCGCCACAGCGAGAGCGATCTCGCGGAGTCAAAGTGACGTGCCTGCCACGAAATCTACACTCAGGCTCCAAAGTACTGCGCCTGCCACGAAATCCGCACGAAAAGCTCCAAAGCACCGCGCCTGCCATGAAACTCAACCAAAACGCTCGAAAGTGCTGCGCCTGTCACGTAAAGCAAGCTTGCCACAAACTCCAAATCATCCAAACTGCTGGCCCTGCCACGAAATCCACCTTTGCCACGTTTACGACACGCATCGAAAACTAGCACGGGACTGTGGCGCCAGAATGATTTCAACCAATTTTGACATGTCTTGCCAAAACGAGCCGATTGTACGACAGGGCCAACGAAAATGACGCTCGGGCAAACACTTGCACGCGCCTGCCAAGCAGGACACCTCAAAGCGACCACCCCTGGATCGCAAATCCCACTGGCACGGCAACGAGAACGCAACCTTCCAACACACTGCGCCTGCGCAGAGAAACGACGTCGAGCATGCCAAAAGCTACGATTCCCGCACAGGGGCACGAAAAATGACGCGCTTCAAGTCATCCAAATGGCACGTTTTTCGCTTTCCCCATTGGAGCTGCGACCGCGACACTCGCGGACACATACGAAAGCTTGCGAACGCTTGCGGACGCTTGCGAACGTAAAATCAACGACTTATGGTCACGTCCTAACCCCCAGACCCCCGACCTCTAAACGGGAACCCTTCTGCTACGCATTCGGGAAAAACATGGACCCCCCAGACAATCGGCACAAATTGGTGGTCTACTTGGAGGGACACTCCTAAGTCTGTCTGCCGTGGATTGGCCAAAGGCTAACCACCTGTGGAGACCCAAAAATTGCAAACCCAGCGGCTCCAGTGCAGCAGTGGAGGTGGTGTGCGGAAAGCCCAGGGGCACCTTGGACACGATTCGAGGTCACCCAGAAACGAACACTGGATGCCCAAACTTCTGCCTGGAAACATGGGGAACCCCACCCCCCAAGGAAAAAAAAACAAATTGTTGTGGTTCCCTTTGGTTTGCCCTTGAAACATCCCCAAAAGAAGAGTTGCCATCAAAAAAAAACACATCCATATTGTTGAGGCGACCCGTATGGGCTCTAACTTTTGAATGGATTCCGAAATCGGATGCTAAACGCGCACAATGATCACTATGAATGTCCCTTGGCGCAAGTCGGAACCCGCTGACTAGAACTCGTTTCGGGTCCGTAGGGAACAGGGAAAATCCTGTGACTGCCCGCAATCTATGAGATTTTACCACGCAGGTTGTGGTTGGTTCTCGCCATCTGAAGGTAATCCACCGAATTTCTGGGGGGTTCACGCGCAGAGATATCCGAGAAAGAAGGGAGGAGTCATCACTGGATTGCCTCGACATGACTTAACACAAAGCTTGATGGCCCTGGCCCACCATCACTAGCTGCGTCAGGAATGATCAAACACGGGGGTCTCTCGGGGCTGCAAGGTTATGAGCCGAGTGCAGCATACCAAGCATGCGGAGAAGCCATGAGGAGTCAAAAATAAGGGGACACCCAAACTAATTGGCTTCCCCGTGGTTTTCCTTTCGACCAAGCTTAAAAGGGGTACCCTCCAAAAACCCCACTGCGACATTGCCCAATGTGGGTTCGTGCCAAAACAGGGGAGCCCTTAAAATGGGTGTTCTCCTTCTGGCGTCCCTTTCAAACAACCCCAAAAGAGGGTCCCAAGAACAGCACGAGCCCATGTGGATGTCCAAATTAGACCAACAGAACCACCGCCGTGTCTGTGTCCGCAGCAAAACAACAATCCCCCTCCTCATTCTCATCCGTTGCACGTAGAGGATATCCCCCGGCTCCAGCACTGCGTCCAGCAGCGGCTCTCCCAGGTCGGCCAGTGCCTGGGTTCGGCTGAGACCACGGCAGGCTGTGCGGATTTTTTGAGGGTACCCTGTTCAGCTGCAAAGGGAGACCAAAAGGAAACCACCAGTTCTCAGGTTTTGGGGTCCGGCAAGACAAAAGCAACAGACCGCGCACCATTACGCAACTGAGATCAAAGGAAAACCATGGGAAGACATAACCAACACCCTGCGCTAAAGGATCCGGAGAAAAGAGCCGGTGCTTACTTTGTGTCAGGTTGCCTGGAATCCTTTGGAAATGACCCGCTGGTGTGCCCTTGGAGACCACGTCGTCATGACACTCCTCTGCCCCCGCTGAGTTCAAGCCGGTCTCTAACACGGCCGCATATCGAAACCCTTTCGCGAGAGCTTCCCGGAGCTGCCGAAGCATGACAGGAGCCTCGCATGAAAAACTGTGATGAGCTAAATAAAGACTATAATTACATTGATATACATATACATACATATATATATACATATATATATATATGTACTGTATTAATATGTATATATATATACATATTAAGAAACTGTGCGCAGCTTTCGCAGCCTGATCTGTGTCGAAACTCGACTTCGCTTTTGCCAGCAATTGCCATCTCCAGAAAGGAAATGGAAAGCAACGCGTGCCCTTTACGTAAAGCTTTCGCGGAGCTTCTGCGGGCGCATATGACGCAACGTCTATTTTTGTGTGCACATTGTTGATTTGCTACTGGCGAACGGGTCTCCTCTGTCTGAGCACTACTTGCAGTCATGAATATCGCGAGGAGTGAAATGAGAACACCCGGTTGCTGTCATGCTACGGCCTCGGGAAACAAGTCATGACATGATTAAAATGGTACTTCCCCGTGAGCACTGCTGGATTTGTATTTGCGCATGATGCTCGAGGCTCGTGTAAACGTCCACCTTTTGGCTAGGCCGCATCACCATCCTTACCTCGTCGAAGGGGGTCCGCATCTCCCACGGGCGGCGGATGGAAAACCGACCACCTGAGTCACAAAGGATATGGCTCGGTCAAAGCTCCGGTTTCGCATGGTCAAAACTGCTGATGTCTTGCCAAACAAAATGCCAACAAGTACCATACTCGCATGATGAACGCGCTCTGGAGAACTTTCCCCTCTTCCTGCAAATGCTATGCCCTTCAGTGTAACCGAGCAAGGAGCATTGTATCCCTAATTAAACCGTCATGTGCCAGAAACAAGCCACACATTGGAAAAGCACTTACTGACTTCCTGTTCTTGCGCACGGGAAATCCCCTATATTGAAAACAAGGCACGGTAGGTGGTAGAGGGCTACGGCTACATGTCGAGTTTCCTTGTCAGATCCCAGACAATTGCTGGGCTTGACCACCAAAGATCCTCCAAAAACCAGCACGAACAGGCTGCCAAGGCACCTTTTGTGGCCGGTGGCTTGGAACACCACCACGTCTTGCCTGTCCTCACAAATGCGACCCAGGCTGGAACAAGGGGGATGTCACGCACCGTAGGCAAACTGGATTGCTTCAGCGTTGACGTTCCCAAACCACGCATCAGCTACCTCATTGTTCCCCACCCGCCTACCAGCTGCTTGCAAGCCTTGTTGAGTTCCACTTTGATTCTCATGAAAGGGCAAGAGTGACATGCCGATAGGGAAAGCAGTAATTCCGTTTGTGGTTCCATGCTTCATTTGGTGATTCGAACCAAATACCCCCCACCACCTTGCATTTGAGAGCCGGCCCTTGACATCAGGCGTTGCTTTCAGAGTACCTCAGGTTGCCGTCGCCTTTGCTGCGCTTCCGGAGTGCTTGATGGAACCATCTCCACGCCGACAATTGGAACCCCCTTCTGGCCCATGTCCAAAGGAAACCAAAACGAATGAGCCAAACCATTTGGAGGGCCCAGAAACTAACAGGGGAGACTTTCCCATTTCCCTTTTGGGTTCTCTTTGGGCCAGTTGCTCATGCCCAACTGCGCCCTCCAGTTCACTCCCACTGCCGTTCTGCCATGCATCCGTGTGGGGCGGCACCGACACCTCCATAGGCCCGGCACTGCAATAGGCGTTGGCCGCCGTTGGCCACTGCAACTTCTTCAACGCCGCCAGGCAGAACTCGGCCAGACCCGGCAAGTAAAGGCCTCAAACCGACGAAATCATCAACTGGTGGACTAACAGGTTGTCCCCTTTGTGAGGGGATCCTTCACTTTTGGGGGGAACTTCTGCGACTAATCCGACGTTCATCGGATGTCTATGCTTGTGATCGGAAATTGTAGCTAGCAGTGTGTTTTGCGCGTATTGCTTGACAGACCTGTTGGCAACTTTGCTACCCATGGTGTCGCCAAACTACTGCCAACGTATTGACGGGCTGAATGCTGTGTATGAGGGCTGTGTGCCTGTGAAATGATTTGCCGTTGTGCTTGACAGTTGTGCCAGCTTAAGTGCAGCTGACAGCCCCAGTTCATCACCTTGATTTCTCGTATGACGCATCAATCCCTTTACTTGGACGGGAAACAAGCCTCATTGGGATTTGTGGCTGGTATTTACTCATGTCGCACTTGCACTTGGCAGTGTCCAGCTGCGTTCTCTTCTGAAAAGTGCTAAGTCACCAGCCTGAAATCAGGGCTCGCCATGCGAGTCTCAATCGCAATGTAATGTCAATCTCTATAGGAGACAATTGTGTCACTTGTCATGTGAGTTGCGATTGGTTCTTGTCATGTTGGCGACATTCATGCATAGCGTACCGATTCCCAGCAAGCCCCCGCACACACACGCAATAAAACACAAGTGCAGGATATAATATTGACTAACAAAAAACGGGCAAATGGCTTGTGCATAATCTGGTTCGAAATATTGCAACCCAATGGCCCAATGCCGCACAAGCTTGGGTTGGACAATGCCAACAATCCTTTCGAGCAGGCATCCACTCGTGTTCCAAACCACTTGCATGATTGCTTGTCGTTTGTGAATGTTGACGTTTTTGCTTTGGGTGTCGGTGTGCCTGATTGATAGAAGCTGGTGGTTTGATTGCATGAAGCGGGCATATATGTTGACACAAAAACCGTGTTGTACTTCTGCCTTACTTAATGCATTTCAGCCGATACTGCATTCTGCTCTGAATCTGCCTTGCTGGGCCCCAAAGGATGGTAATCAGTGCAGATCACCAACAAACAACCACAAGCTGGTAACCTCCAAGCTTGTAACGGAAACCGGACCTCATCCCCGACCTGCATTGTTGGCGTAGACGGTGCGGCTCGCGGCAGTCTCCATGGTTGGCCCTGCGGCACCGCACGGGATTTCAACTTGAAGGGCGATTGCTTGCACTCAGAATGGGGGCTGTGTGCTTCTCAGCCTTGCTTGGGGTTGACGACCGTGTCCGTCAGCCTTCCTAAGGAATCCACATCTTTTCTGCCCAGCTGAGTTTGGGCAAATAGTCCGGCTGATGCTCCGGGCCAGCCAACAGATGAATCGAAGCATCGTTTACGGCATCACAAAGGCTTAGGTATCAATGTCGTGGGTTGCCAAGCATCCCACTCCCGAAGGATATTCACTAAGCAAAAAAACAAAGAACTAGGGATCAGCTGACCTGCTTTAATTGGGAGGATCATTGTGTTGTTCACTATACAAGCACCTACCTCGTTCCCGATATTTTCTTGAGCAAGCCAACCTTGGGTTGGAACTTCCTCTGAAAGGGGAACTTGTTCCGCTGAAAGGGGAACCTGCTTGCTGGCAAGCCCGCAACCAGGGTTGACAGACCCACATCGAAAAGACGCGCAACGCAGGTGCTGCTCGAATCCCTGCTCTTTGACCCAATGGCCAGGCTGTCTTTCCTCGCGCTGCTCAGCTTTGAAAACCGCAATTGAAAAATGGTCCACCGGGGATGCCGACAAAGCTTGGCGATCGTCGTCCAACACTTGTGCAGGCATGCGCTGAAGCAACTGGAAAGCGACATGAAGCACGCTGCTGGCCAACCTGGTCGGCAGCCCGGATGTACTGTCAGAGAGACACACCGCGCGCTGATTGCCAACTTCATGCCTCTAAAATCACTCGAACTAAGGCAGAGTTGAGCAAGGCAAGGGCCTGCAGATGTCTGCACCCTGCTTCACGAAAAGCCGGCCTTTTGTTGCAAGTCGCCAGGACTTTTGATCGAAGGCAGTCTGTAAATTCAACTGCATAGTACAAGTCCTTAAAGCACCGACCTTCAAACCTTGCGAGGACATCGAGTCTTCCGAACGCCTCCACACCAACTATTTTCCAAATGGATCGCAAAAACAAACCAAAGCATATCGTGCCTTGCTTCACAGACATATACATGTCACGGTTGGTTTAATGACAAACACGAATCATTGTCAAGAAAGCATGGAAGCAAACCAATCGCCCATCATTGAAGGAAAGTAGTGTACGAGGGTCCCGGCAGCTTTCCTCTCTCAGATCTGAAATACTCCTTGCTCCGCACCTTTGGCGGGTATCACTTCGCCGGAGGAGTGACATTATCCTGCCGCGATTTGGCCACAACCGATCGCCTGAAAATGTTCTGATGCCGAGAACGCTTGTGACAGGCTGGTAGAGTGAATTCTAATCTTACAACTCCACTCAAGACGTTTCAAGACAAGGGACATTTGCGTTGTAGTTGTGAGCATGGACACCTTGAAGGGTATGGTCAGCATGCCCAGCATTGCTCGACATCGAATCTGTAGCTCCCGACAAATCCGGTCGAATCCCGCAGCTGCGCAAAACGCTTTGACTTTGGCAGACCATCGCTTCAGCCCAACTTCTGCCACCGCTAGCCTCTGCCCGCGGCCCTGGCCTTGCTCTCTTGAGCCTTTGCCACTTGCCATTCCTTGGCATGCGTGGCGTGACTTACGAGTCAGACTTTGGGTTCCCTGCACCTGCCTCAGTGGATTCAACCTTGACAGTGTGACTTGTGCTTCTCAACTTTTCGGCTCACCGCATACCACCAAGGCCCTTCAGTGAGAAACGTGATTCAAGGCCAGGCTTTGCTCAAACGTTGCTACTGTTTACCTCAGGTTGACATCAGGCCCCGAGCCTTGACCCATGATCTCTGCGAGGCTCCAGGAAGGCATACCACTCCTCTGGCGTCCAGTCGCTGCTCACAATGCCAGCCTCAGCTCTTGGCATGCGCCAAGATGGACTTAAAGCCGCATGAGGTCGCACCAAGCCTCTAAACTGGATACACATCTGATTATTTGCTGATACAGGCCTAAACTGTTTTGTCTTGCGTACCAAACTGCTTATCAACACAAAAATACCGCGTCCCGTCAACGCAAACATACACCTGTCAAATGCGGACTTGCTGAAAGCCACGGTCAAGGATGTTGTCAGCTGGCACAAACGTTAACAACGTGCAAACACGCGCTGTTCTTTCCAAAACGCCTGCGTGGACCCAGAGAAAGAAATACTGTCGTCAGCGAAAACAACTCACACTCAATGCAATGCAGCAATCAAGCAACCAACCAAACAATCAGGCACACCAGTCTCTCAACCACCCACACCAAACGTGGAACAAGAACAACAAAAACAGCATCAAACAAATACGCAACTCTCGGGCAAAACCGAAACCACGACCAGCAACGACCCAACACACAAATGAGGTAACCCGGCTTTTTAGAGCCCGGTGCATTAAGACCGTTTTGTGTGGCCGTGCGGATTTGTCAAGATGGCACACTTCAACAACGCTCCTAGGCAGCTCATAAGCGTTCCACGCTGTCTTCATGATCACTCATCGCGGTGCCGCCCGCCATCTCGGCAGCTCAAAAATGTTTCACGCTGTCTTCACAGGGCTCTGAGCGTGCCAAAAGCAGCCATTCATGAGGTCCAGCCGCCATGACTTTGCGTGCGGCCATTGAAAAGCCTTCAGGCGATGACGGTTTCCTTCTCTGTACACCACAACCAAATGAACATGAAACGTGATACCTTGATTTGCTTCCTCACCAGAAGCTTGGCAACAATACCCCAAGCCTTGGCACCGTCGCAAAACTGGTCTGCGAAGATGCGAATTGCAGGGAATCCTTCTCCTTGCATGACTAAAGCTGCAGATTTGCCCGTGAAAAGCATATCGTCTCTGGAATGCCTGGATCAATTCCCGTGACATGCCGCACTACCTCGGCCGTCGCAGTGGGCGGTGACGTTATCACGCTATCACCCTTGCCCCCAACCCCCACCCCCCACCGCATCATTCAATCTGACGTGAAGTCGCTCTTGCAAACTGCATGGCATGTACACGTGCTTCAATAGGCCGTGTCTCCAAAAACAACAAACACTGCTCTGGAAGCGTTTAAAGCCGAGAAGCCTCCAGGCCGTTCACATAGACGGTGGGAGTAACATGGACACCCCGTGACCGGTGCAGCTTGGTGGCCCACTTGATATGCTGCGTCACCTCAAAGTGTTGAATCCCGGTGTTCCAAAAAGGATCTTTGCAAGCTATGCCCAACAGCCACGTGCTTTGACACGACTTGCTCTGCAGCAGCAGAAAACTATTATTTTTGTCCATACCCGGTTTTGCATGGCCGCTGCTGCTGACTAGCTTGGATTTTGGACTGGTCCTGGTTGCTTTAATTCAAAGTGCGTTCCGTACCCTTGTGTACGTCTGATGATATGGATGACATGTCATATTGGGTCAACCAGCTGTTTGCTTGCTGATCTATCTGAATAATTCGAGGCAATACGTATTCAATACACCTTCAAGTCAATTGACCGCCCGGACACCGGCGACAAACAGTGCCTGGCAGCACCACCTAAGACCATACGCTGAATGATGCAACGGAACATCAGGCCTGGCTGGCCTTTTGCTCTGTCAAATATTTCCACCAGCCGACTTGGACAGTCCTTGAAGGGGGCCATTGCATAGCCCCAAAAGCTTGATTAGCTTTTCCGTACTTCATATTCCCTCTCAGGAACGTATACTTGTCAAGCTGTGCCAAACTTGCCCTGCCTTCTTGATTGCATTTCTGTTCAATCCACGATGGGTCCAACACTTCCAACCGCTCAGGCCTGCTGCTGAAACAATTGGCTTGGTGGCTCGCAACCTATTACAAAACACCAATTTTAAATGGCAAATGTACATTATCATAATACAATGCGCTACATTAAGACAAATAAACCAAAGTTGCTCTTCATGTCCTCAACATCTGGCCAAGATCCTCGATATCAGAGACATGAGGTCTGCCCAAGGCTCTGCACCCTCACATCGCACAAGGCTGCAAACAGCTGGACCCCGTGGGCCATCTGGGGAGTAAAGGGCAAGGGGCCGGCCATTGGGCCATCTTCCGGTCTGCCAAGCCCGTCTGCTGGCCAAGCTGCGCTGTTGCCGGCATTGCCAATGCCGGCAAGCTGCAGCCTAAGTGAAGGCACAAAACAGAAAACGCATGACATGCAAAGACCATGAACGGATCCACTAAAGCATGCCCCATCATTAGCAGCAAAGCACGAATCCAGCAAACCAGCATTGCCAGTCCTCCCATGTTTTCTTGGATGAACTCTGCTTGAGTGAAGAGAGCAGCTCAGTCATAGTAGCATCTCTGCAACACCTTCAGCCCTCAGATAGGTATCCTCAATACCTACAAATCTCTGCATCCCGTCAGGCAAAGCCCTGTGCAATGAGACCCTGCGGCTGGTTCGAGTATTCCACCGGCCCGACGCATCTGGCCTCGCCATGACCTTCTTATCGTCGAAGCCTTGCTCTTGGGCCATGATCGCCAGCTCCTGCTGATGACCGCGGGGCGGGGAGTGCTCAATTCTCTAGGGCCCCAACTGAGACTGGTTTGGTGTATCAAGGACAAGCAATCAGAAAGTAAGCGCGCGCTCATCAAGATACAGCGCATCGTGTGTTCGAGCCAATCGCGCAGCAATGGGAGCTAGATCTATTCCGTATTTGTCCTTGTTTTTGCCTCGGTCATTCGACCAATCCTTTCAAACGAATCTGAGTTGCTTCAACCCAGTTCTTCTGAAGGGCTCTCCTGCACAGAAGATCGTCCCACAAAACAAAGGTCCTTCGGAATTTGCCTTCAGCTTCATTGGGTCCTCGGGAAGCTTGTTGGGTGGGATCTTAAGAAACACCCAAAGCGATACCTATCTGTGGATTCCTTGTAGGGTCGCCTGATTGGACTCGGACAAGTTCCTTGCATCAATGCACTTGTTTGAACCATGTTAAAGAGAGCAAATGCAAAGTATCTCTTCAAGGCATGGGACACCCCCACCCTCTCCCATTTGGCGCTTCGCTCCCAACCCGCCAACTAAAACACATCTAGCCACATGGCCA